GCGGAGGTCACGGGTTCGAATCCCGTTGAAGCCCTGATTTTTTCAGGCTTCTTCTTTCCAATTGCTTAAATTGGAAAATTTGCTGCGATAATCATTCTTCAATTTCACCTACAACCGCAGTTCATATATGAATTATTTCATATAAACTTCACATCAGTCTTTCATAAATCATTCATAAATTGTCAGTAGTTCATAGCATAGGCAGCCCTAGCTGCAGCTGTGAGATGATCATCTTGCGTAAAAGCAGTCATGGCGAAAATATAAGTTTCTATGGGTGTATTTACGATCGGTATAAGGAAGTAAAAATGCTGTCACGTTCTTGATAAGTATACCTTGCCTTACTTCCACATTGTATTGCTTGTTATCTGTTCCCTTACTTTGCTGAAACGAGGCCATTTCAGCGAGCTATCTATTTCTGGGTTTTCCTATAAAATGGCCTTGAGCCAGCAAAGTAAGCGAACTTTTTGACTTAGAAAACTTACCTGTAAGTATGGCAATGTGACTTCTAAAATCACTCCGTGTGCCACACGCTGTGTTTGTCCTTATGTGAATTTATCTCCTTGACTATAAACGTAAACTGAAGCGACTAACCTTGTTTGCGGCCATGTAAAACTGACTTGTTTTGTCCTTTTTGTTAAGCTCTGGAGTGTGCTTTTTAAAGTCTCGGATGGCACTCAAGGATTTGAAGAGTACCGAAGATGTTTAACAGAGCGGTTTGTGTGCCGAACAAAAAGGGTAATCATTTGACCGTTTTCGAGATATTAAAATTCAGCTTGGCAGTGAGACGTAGAGGACACAAACAAAGGAAACTGAATGACCATGTTTATTGACTTAGAAAACTTAGCTGTAAGTATAGCAATGCGACTTCTAAAATCACTCCGTGTGCCACACGCTATGTTTGTCCTTATGTGAATTTATCTCCTTGACTATAAACGTAAACTGAGGCGACTAAGCTTCTTGTTTGCGGCCATGTAAAACTGACTTGTCTTGTCCTTTTTGTTAAGCTCTGGAGTGTGCTTTTTAAAGTCTCGGATGGCACTCATTTCTTTTGTTTGTGTCCTCTAGGCCTCAATATCAAGCTGAGTTTTAATATATCGAAAGTGGCCTATTGATAGTAATAATAACAATAATTAATCTTTAATGAGGAAGCCTACATTCCAAAGTGGTTTACTGAAGGGTCCTCATTTGGTATCAATCCTGTCATAAGCCAAATTACCGGACGATAGACGGATTTTCATCAAACCAAGTGGTAGGTTTTGGGTTTTAGGGCAGTATTCGTTAGTTTGACTTAACAACCAAACGTATAAAATAAATTTTGATTACCGGATGCTACTATTTGCTAATCTGGTCAGTTTTAAATGGGAATTTATTTTGCTCCAATGCTTGTTTTTGTTTCAGATAAGAGAAACCTGCCTCGTTGAGATTTTTTGTGAAGTTGACCTGGAGATATACGACAGAGCCGTTGGGGAATCCATCAGCAAACTTGCGTTTGAAGCCGTGGAAAAGATAATACAGGTAGATTGGTGTTGTAACAACTTACTGGTCTGAAGATCTGTACTTGAATTTATTGGGTAACTTTATTGACATACTAGAACTTGACACCTTTTCTGGCGTAGTTTTACACACAAGTTTACTTTCATGACCAAAAATATTCCTTTTGTAAAGTCAAGACAGGGTGCAGATGCTGACCATGCTTTCAGGTCTTTAAGAAATTCTAGTCAGCGAGGTGACGCAGGAGCAGTAAAGTACGGCCAACTTTTGTCAATGTTGCTTACAAAATCCTGGCCTAAAACATCTCAGAGCCAGAGAAGGTTTGGCTTGCACCCTTGTACTGTGGAGTTTCTTCTCACCTGGAACCCGATGGCTGGATATTTCCATTTCTTTGGTAACTAGATATGTTAGTAACTTTCTTATATAATTACCCAGAACTCAGTCTAAAGACGCTATCAATAATGGCTTCCCTGCAATATTTAGTTTGACCACGCAAACTCGCGGCGTGACATGTCACACAAGGTTGTCACAGGTCAGGAAATGGTCAGGGAAACAATTCTTCAAGGTCAGGAAAAAGTCAGGGAATTTTTATGTTGAGTCAGGGAAAATTGTCATTTAGAAGAAAAGTCCGCGGAAATTGAAATTGAAGGAACATGTGGTGAAAACTTATTACTCTTAATGAATGAGTAGAAAGGACGGCTGTAAGTTGAGGCCAGAAGCCGCTGATCTGATATTTTGTATTATTTGGTCAGGGAAATCTTATTTTTATCAGGGAAAAGTCGGGAAAAAGTCAGGGATTTTTGTGATGCCTGTGGCAGCAATGTCACAGAAGTATACGGAATTTGCAGGATTATAGAATAAAGGATGCGAAATACGAATGAAATGAAGAACTGACCATCGCAGTTGTAATTGCAATTGCAAACTTGGAAACTAAGCCTGAAAAAATATTTTGGGGCTTCGACGAGTGAAAGCCCGGAATCTTTTTCGGTCTTAATTTGCAATTCTAATTACTGCTCAGAGGTGAGTAGTACTTGCTATTCACCTCCGAGCTAGCTATTCAGAATGCACGGAAAGCACTATTCACTTGTGTGGTATATACTAACATCAGATATTAGTTTTGGCTGTGTTACGTGACGTGTTTGGACCAATCGCGCGCGGTCAAAATATTCGATGGATTATGATGTGCAATGTGAAAGGAGTCTGGTGTGTTTAAAAGCACTGCGTGTTGTTCAGTGTACATTGCATTTTGCCTTGAATACGGTGGCTGCGCCCGCAGCACGAGCTGTCCTAGCGAAACGACACGATTATGGTCTTTTTCTTCGCAGCTAACAGAAAAATAAAATCTCCTCTAATGCTTAACTCGAGAATTCTGCGTTTAATTTGACAAAGAATAGCATATTTTGGTCAAGATGACACAAATAGTTTCCAACCTGGTGACAGCGATCGAAAAGCGAGTCGCCGAACGCAGGCGACCAATTTTTGGCGCCAAGTTAAAAACTTGGCGGCACGAAATAATGTTTCAAATACTTCACTTTTTACAATCTGATAGTGATTTTGGAATTATAAATATCTTTTCGTGAATATTCAATGCCGTCTCCAGTGAGAAAAGGAAAGCCATCGAGTTCGGCTTATTGGCCGACTTCAATGCTGGCTTTTCTGTTAACATACCGGCATTTGACGTTAGGTCAGTGCAGTTTTTCCCGCCTGCTGAATCCTGATTAGTCCATTCAAATTTCAGTCGCACCAGCTTTATGAAAGGTGACTGTGAAATACGCACAATACTCAGAGAGTATTTTTTTTTTCTTGAAAACAGGGGATGAGTCTGGAAGAGGGAGTATTTTAACAGATGAAGGCCAAGAAACGCTGTCAATGGCTCAGTCAGTACTTACGGCTCTTGTTGAAAGCATTTCAAATGCGTCAGTGACGGTTGAAATCTTAGGTCTTTTACAGAAACACAGAAAGAAATTCTTGGAACTGTTATCAAAGATAACTGTCCCTTTCGCCAAAGAAGGAACTGAGGCGAACACGAGGCAAGAAGGTGAAAAAATCCTAGATCAGCGAATTGGAGAAATCGAGGAATTCCAAGCTGTAAAAGAAAAAGTGGCTTCCTTCGTCAACATGTGTGGTTTGATTGGGCCAGGTGAGATTTCACTTAGCAGCAAGAAAGTCTTGACAATCTACACAAGTTTGTTAATGTCCTAAACATGTTTTGTTCCAAATCGAACAACTGAGTACATCTTTCAGCTTATGAGAAGGAGTGTGTGAACTTGGCATGTATTTTGTCGAAAGAAGAATGTTTAAACGTCATACTTGTAACATAACGTTTGAACTCAAGTTGACTGATATTATGTTGTTTATACTTGAAGTTGCAGATCCAGAAGATTTTGCTACTTTAAATACTGCTTAAAATCATTTTTTGATTTCTCTACAGTCAATATTGGCAGTATTAAGGAAAAATCGCGTCAAGATGTCTCCCGTTACCAAATACGTGAGTTGTGCGAGCATAAAGATGACAAGCAAATCGAGGTCACGTTCTTTAAACTACCCTCGGTGGCTAAAGAAGTTATTTCGCCACTTCATCTCTTGCAAAAAAGTTTAACTTTCCAAGATCTTTGGACACGGTATGGAAAAAAAGTGCAAGCAGCTAGAAAGAATGACGAGACTAAGAAACCACATCTCAGCATCTCCGAAGTCGTTGAAAATATCTGGAAACCAGCTTTTCAAGATTGGAACCAGCATGCGGCTAGTACCATGGACGGAACGATACCCCTCGGAAATGTGGACAAGCTCTTTGGCACTTACAAGAACAGGAAAAAAGAGCTTGAACGAGAGCTGTTGAGCATGTTTGAACTGAGCCAAACTCAACCTGCCAGTAGAGCAAAGGAGCTGCAGACAACAGCTACTGAACGCGCCAAGCAAATACAGCGGTACCAGCAACTTGGTCAGTATGCGAGTGCCGCAGACACAATCTGGAAATTTAAGGAGTCAATGGGTTTCACTGGTGACTTCAAAGTTATCGATGATCTGCGTAATCAGGTTTCTTAATTTATGTTTTCCACCTTTTTCATTCAGACTCTCTGCTTTTTATCACGCTCAAGATACGAGAGCGGGTTTCTTTGCCTGGTGTTGGGACGTTTTATTGTGAATATGTTCCTCGTCTTTGCTTTGAAATATTATATATAAAATGTTCTTATTCGCGTCTTTGATCTTGTACGTCGGACACATGCATTTACGTCCGAATATTCCTGTTTTCATTTTAATTTAAATTTTACGATTTAGTTGGCAAAAGAGTTCAAACAAAAGTCCCTAAACAGCATTGGAAAGAGGTTTTCTGAGGCTGGTCGTGCACTTGAGTGTTTGGATATGGAGAAAGCAAATTGCTTCAGGGCAGTGGTAAAGAGCAGTCCACTGGTGGAGTGGCTGCGTACTACCATAAAATGTAAGCACACTATCTGTTAGGGTCGCTAGTTGGCTGTCTGAATTAACGTGCCAGTGAAGTCATAGGCCGCTTTAAGGACATTCGCGCGAAAATGTTCTACTCGATAGATTTCTTAAAACTTCCACTGCGGACAGATAATGAATTACTTGTTTTAGGAATTAACAAAAATTGGGGTCACGGAATTCGTTTCAGAGATAAAGCGTGTGGAAAACTAGTCTGATTTTAAAAAATTGGCGCGCGTAAATCAGCCCTTCAAGAGGCAATTTGAAACCGCCGCACAGATAAACGAAGAGCTAAAAAGAACGGACTTCGATGGTGCAATGTGCAAAAAATTCAAAATTCTAATCGATAGATTTTCTTCATTTTTTCGCTAACGTAGAAAATCGGTAGAGAAAATGATCCATCAAAAGAAAAATAGGGGTCACNAAAAAAATAGGGGCAAAGCTATAGCAATGGCCATCTGCTCTATCATTGTTCATTTTATTACTTAGCGCGCGCTCGATGCATGACGTGGCGTGTGAATTTGTGTGTGCAGTAAGGATGCGCAGAAACAATTATCGCCGACGTTCTTAATTGAATGGGACGTATTATCTACTGGTTTCTCAGTAAATAGTACAAATTTTTTAGCAGTGTGATTTCTTTGAAAACTACTACCTTAACGTTTTGAATGGTTCCGCAGCAACTCAAGAGCTTAAGGTTCTTGTTGACTTGGCCTTGATCTCAGCTGGTGAAAGCGACATGGAAACTGCCCGCATTTCCAGTCTACATACCAGCTGCCTAGGTTTCGCTCCTTTGATCTTTGACCTCAGAGAAACTGAAGGACAAAGAGTGAACTTTGACGACCTGGTGAAAGCTTGTGATCCCGTGTGGAAAGCTGTAGAGACAGATCACAGTTTACCCCAAAAACTAGTAAGAAGTGAAATGCACTTTGTGCTCTTGTGATAGTTATTTTCTTTTTAACTATGTTCGAAGAGGTCCTCCGTTATCGTTAACGGAACTTCATTAAGAAGGCCAGTCAAAATCGGACTATCGCCAGATTTTGAACCAAGAAGTTTAAAAGATTCTAGTTCTTCACGTCAAGTTCTTTTTTTTCAATCTTATTTCTTGATTTTTGTTTATCGGTTAAAAAAAAATCTTGAAAATGTTGTTAATCACTCAGTACAACGAAACCGTAGACAAACGTAAATTTGATAAATCCAGAAGTGTCAAAATTAATAAGTCGAGACGTTCCCTTAACGATTATGTTGAGATTTATAGCTATACCAGAGTTTAAACACGCTATATGACGGGATGAGATTCAACAAATATTACCCGTTAGTTTTTATGGTGTCCTTTTTCTCAAGACCCGTTTTTAGTTCATAGGAGACCTGTTTTATATGGGGCTGAGGACTCCTTTACAGATTATCCTTTGACCTTTTAACCATAGATTGTAATAAATAAAAATGACATTGTTATTTAAATTGCTCTTAGTGTGACACTAGCAGGCATCTGGAATGGCTTAAGACCGTCAAGGAATCACATGGTTCGGTTGCTATGACGTCCT